ATTATTTGAGGGCTAAGGATCAACAGCATTTACCTACTAACTGAGATATTCTAATGGTTACTAATGTAACCATTAGAATGGCTTCTCTGAGCAACTAGAGAAAGAATGAGGACATTTGACTTGTCACTTTAAATTTAAGTGGATTTGTTTTATTTACCATTCCTTGCCTTAAAGCGCACACAAGTAGCCTCATAAATAAAAATCATATTACATTTGCATCACTCTTAGAAAAAACTAAGAAAACACAGTGTTCCGGCAAAGTTCCAAAAATGTTGAAACGCTGAAGCATCTCTGACCCTAAACTATCTATAACCTTCTTCTGCCCAGCAAAAAAAAAACACTGTTTCTGAGATGAATAATTAATTATCATTTTCAGTCCCTTTTGTATAGCAAACTAAAGAGGACTGGGAGGAGCATCCATACGGTCTCTGATACAGTTTGGCACCTCAGCATTTTCTCTCTTGCTACATATCTCCTTGATCAAACAACAGCAGATCGGGAGGATGAAGACATCTTGCAATCTCCTGACACTCCTAATCTCTCTTCCTTTGATCTCACATTGTAGCCGTCTTCATCGCAAACATCTCTTACCCTCACATAGTCTCTTGTGCTCTCGCATTTTAAGGTCCACATGCCCTTCAACAAACTACAGGATCAAATCAAAATCCTTTTATAACAAGTGTGGCATGCCTCCTGCAAATGATGCGGACCCCAGTGAACCTGTCAAGTGAGGTGGTGTATCAACCATTCAGTTCAGGAAGTGATTACCAACATCAGTTATGATGATATTTGTCCGTAGCCCTGTGGCTTATGTGATTTATATGGTTCCCCAGATACAATGTCCAAAAGTGTGGGCTTGTTTTATATTGCTACTTTGGCAAATCATAAAACTACTTTTCTCTTTTCAGTAGAATTTTCACTCTTCTGTGTTTATTTGTTGCTAACTCAAAAACTAACTTCCTGAGATATTCTCAAATATTTCAAACATTTTTCATAGAAGCACACTTATTTGCCTAATTAACTTCTGTTTTGTCTCTTTTTATGGTTTAACTGTATTTTCACTTCTGCAGGTACTGACCTGAAGAAGGAGTAGCTTGGTCCGATCTTATAGAGCGCAGGGCTAAGCTGTAGCTCAGGATAGTGCTGCACGTCGCTTTTGATAGACCCCAGGCTCATAGCAAACACTACAAACAGAACAGGAAGCAGGATTTGGGAAATCAGGCCCTTCCAGTCTCTGCGGCTGTGGTGGAATCTCTTGATCAGGATGGCTGACATTTGCTGCCAGGCCAGAGCCATGCCGGTCACTGTGGATGAACTGGTAAGGTCTGAAACACACAAAAGGAGAGCAGAGCGAGGAGAGAATGATTTTGGGGCAAATTCACTTGCTATCTTAATACTTTTATGAAGCCTTCATTGTCTTTTAAAGACAGTCAAGCTAAAGGCTACCATGCAGACACAAAAAATGACAGTGCAATCCATCAAGAAGACTGCTCCAGTTGTAGAAGTTGTAGAACAAGCTCAGCAGAGTATTGGCAAAATATTTTAGGTTGTAAACGTCAAATTTAAAATAACAAGCTCGGGTAAAAACGCAATGTTTTGAAAAGCAGAGACTCTGACAGCCTTTGTTCCATATGTGGCCACCTTTAAGAAATCAATCCAGTTAATTTGTGAGAATTTGTCTTGTTGGAGCTGGTGGTGTTTATATTTAAAGTGTAACCAAAGCTTTTATAGTAATCTCTTATTTCACTTTTATACATGCATGACTGCTGGAAGTGACAAGTGTTAACTATGAGGTCTAAAGATGTGTGATGCTGAATAAATGTTATGTTAATTATAAAGTTCAACCATCTGTTCTCTGTGTAGTGTATTTTCAGTCTCTTGTTTTCTTCTATATGATTAAAGTTACTGTTGAACAGAATTTAACTTTTTTGACTATAAAACCTCTGTCATTTAATTTTCCTTGTCTTGACGTTGTAGTATATACTGTTTTTTATCAGTGTTTCTTTGTTTCGTTGTTTTTTTGTCAGAGGTATCAGTTTAGCAGCTTTTTTTTTTACAAAAAGAAGATGACAGCAATTGGTTAACAAAAACAAACAAACCAACAACAAAAAAAACCAAACAGTGAACTCACTGATCCTGTCGCTGAAGCTTGTGCTGCTGTCACTGTCGTCTAAAGACAAGCTGTCGATGGATATATTGTCGGAAACCGTCTCTGATACGGATGGGAGGCCATCCTCAGCTTTAGCTTCTGTCTGTCCATGAGTCAGTTGGAGGAACACCTGCAAATATATATAAAAAACAATATATAGTATCTGTATATGATATTTTTGACATTTTAGGGTTTATGATATGCTGTCAGATATGTTAGTATGATTACGTTTGGATCATATTAACAAAAGGGGCCTTTAAATGTACCTCGGCATCAGTGTGAGAGCTTACCTCCTCTAGTGTAGTGTCAGAGATACCATAACCCCCCAACTGTAGAGCATCCAGGTTGGAGTCCAGCGCGGTAAGCAGAGAGCGGTATGAGGAGGCGTTGGATGAGTTGAAGGGTGGCAGTGAGTAGACCAAATCATTGCCCTGGGCTTCTTTCAGTTGTGCTTCAGGTACATGGGCTTGGACAAAGGCTTTAACTTCAGCGCTGTCAATCCGTTTATTTTCTGTGTTTTGCACCTGCAAGTAGAAAAGATTAGGAAAGTGAAAGCTTACTTATAACACACTACCTAACTTATAACACACTGTTCCTGCTTTTCAGGATTTTTTTTACATAAGTTACAAGTGATATGACTAAGCAAAGCTGAGATAAACTTGGAAAAAAAATCACTTTTTTTCCTCACACTGTCTGATGGTTTCTGCTTTAGATTGCTGAAATGACTGACTATCATCATAGAGGACACTTTTCTTAAAGTACAGAATACTGACAGAAACTTCAGGTTTGATCAGACTATACAAAATCAGATCGTTATTTATTCATGAGAGGGCATCATTTCTGTGTGTCTTAACATAGTTCATGTGGCCCTTTTTTAATATATCTGATACAAATTGACCTAATGCAACATGTCATCTGGGAAAAGATAAAACCCTGGGTTTGGTTTTACACAAACAGTCCAGCTCTTTCATAAAAGCTTTTGGTGAAATGTTACGCCTGTGCTGACCATTTACTTTGCAAGATGCCTCCCTGCTAAGAAACATTCTGAGTAAAATGCATCAGAGGAAAGCTGCTGTTCTCTCATTTTTGGAACCGGTTGTCTGCTGGGAAAGCATATTTCACTAAAAAATAAATAAGTGGAAGTAGATTTTCATTAAAATTTCATGTTGTGGAAAAAAGCTGCTGTAAGCATGAGTCTTTATTGCTTCGACTGACAGGGCGATTAAATGATTACCTTTTTGGTGAGGGTAAGTTTGTAGCCTTGGCCTAGCTTTTCTTTCAAGTAGAATGGGGATCCACAGCATTTTAATCCTCCTTTCTCCAGGAAGGCGATGCGGTCACTCAGCACTTCTGCTTCGTCCAGGTGGTGGGTGGACATGATGATTGTGCGGTCTGAGAGGGCACACATATTAAAAAAAAAAATTACACATGCAATATTACACTCTTCTTTAACAGGTACTCTTACACAAATGTAAAATGGAGGTGAAAATTACAAACAAAATCCGTAAGATTATATTTACCAACTAAGCTAGTCTGTAAAGCTTTGTCATACTTTTATGACTTCAGCAACTCCAAATAAACAAGCTAAAAAGCAAACATACAAACCCAAACACAAACTCTATCATGCAAACACATCATAGAAACAGGCACAGAAACAGCAAGAGATGTGGAAGATTTATTTTGAAACAGATTTTTCTGGCACTAAAATCTCCCAAACGTCTGAGATGACGCCAATTACGTGATATTTTCCAGAAACATCTGCTAAGAGAGCCTAAAAATACCTCCTCATTTATATTAAAATTATGCTTCGCTAAAGTCCATTTACAAAACAAAGGAGAGAAAAGTCCTGCAGTGAGCTCCAACCTGCAGGTTCACAGCTTGTTGCCCACCGTGTTTCTTAGAAAACAGATAGGAGGGTGCGTGTTCGGAGGAAAAACCCTAGTGTGAGACTTTCGGTTGTCTGTGCATTTTTAATACTAACAATGCACAAATGCAGTGCAATTATTTTTTATGTACTACAGAGATTTTACATTGTACTTTAAGGGTAGTTTTAAAAAGGTATGAGCTACACACATACATACGTACTGTATTAGAAAATAGAGCTACAATGTGCTTCAAACGGGTATGGCTTTGCAGTCTTTGAGGGAAACCTGGTGTTTCCCTCAAAGACAAGGATAGACAAATACAACAGATTAAAAAAAAATATATATATATATATATATACAATTTGGTATATGAGTTATATAAATGCAAGAGTACACAGGTGGGTATTAAAGGGCTTTAAAAGCAATCAACCAGTCCTTAAATTGTATTAAAAAACAAACTAAGTCAGTTTAACTCAGACAAGTGAGATATTTTCCCTGTACCTGCCGTTTGTCACCATCCAGGAAGGAGAAATAAGGATGCGCATTAATAAAACTACAAAAACCAGCGATTTATACAGACATGTCAAGTTAAAGTTGGCCAACTGAGACTGCATATGTGCAGGTCTCAGATTTCCTGTGATAGAAAAAACTTCATGGTGATGTTATTTCAGCGTTCAGTGTTTGAGTGTGCCTGTCAGACTTACTTTTCTTGTGCTGGATTACAATGTCCCAGATGTTGCGCCTGGAGCAGGGATCAACTCCTGTAGTGGGTTCATCCAGAACCACCACGCGAGAGCCCCCTATTAAGGCGATGGAGATTGACAGCTTGCGCTTCATGCCGCCTGATAGGGTGCCCACCCGCTTGTGTCTGTGAGCATACATCCCCGTGTCCTCTAGGATCCTGGGAGCAAAGTCGATGAAAAGCATTTAGGATGGAGCACATGCTAACTTTTTTTTTTTTCAATGCATTACAACCCAGTTTGTGGGTTGTAGTTCAATCACTTCTATCAGCTACTCAGCAGGGATTTCAGATTTCCTGAAACCAGAAGAGAGAAACAGTTCTTGCCTTTAAATTCACTGCTATTCTGCTCATATAAGACCATCTAGAAAAAGTCACATGAAGTGACTTAAAACTCAGAGTTTTATGGTATTCTGCTCATGTTTTCCTGCAGAAGCACATGGTATATTTTACAGCTCTAAAACACTAAAATAAGAGCGCAATTCAAAGACAACAGGGATGCAATTTATTATTTTTTTACTGCAGACTTACACTGGTTATATACACTGTATAACCATTACTGATTTTCAAATTACCCCTGTATAACCTTTCACTCTTGTGAAGCACTGGCAATTATTTCTTATGAAAGTCTCGTAACCTCTGCACATATTTTTTTTTTATTTGAGGGCCATGCCTTTAACTGAGCAAAGGACGGAGTTTAATGATGTACATATAAAACAGCTTGTAAAGAGAATCCTTGTAACAGGTAAAATATATCACCAAGGTATCATCCTTAAAACAGAGCGTCCTTTTATACACTGAGCATATCAAGCTTCCTGCTCTGGTCACTCACGTGCGGACTTGTTCATGTAGTTCTCTGTCTGACCAGTGTGGGGCCTTGATCTGTCCATACAGCAGCAGGTGCTCCTTGGTGGTCATGTGATCAAACAGGACGTCATACTGCATGCAGACTCCTAGCTCCCTGCGAACGTTCTCAATGTTTGTCTGCATGTCTCTACCGTAAACCTCTATGGTTCCCGAAGATGGGGCAAAAAGCCCAGTAAGGAGAGACCTACACAAAGAATACATGCATTTGTTAACAAAATTCACAATAATGAATAAACAAATTCAATTTTTATTACTCAGATCAAGTTATAAATGACAGAACATGCTCAAAAGACTTTTCATATACTAGGTGGCACTTGAAAAGCTGAAAATGCCTTTTCCTTTTGTCCTATCTGCTAGTTTTCATATTTTCTCCCTGGCAGTTTCTTCTTAAATGATGACTTATTGTTCTCAAAAATATCATAGGGCATAAAATCCCTTCTTGGTTCTTGTTTTTTTCAGTGGTGTTAAATCTCATTCTGCCACTGCACTCCTTGTATGTTGCCCTTGATAAGAGCGTCAGCAAAATGAGTCGCATTTAAAATGTAAATGTAAGTGCTCTAGTTGATGAAGACCCGTCAGGCGAATCGCTACCACAGTACAGTTGCTGTGCCAGATTTGGACAAAACAATCTCCCTGTCAGCATCAGAGCCTTGGAATGATTAAAGGGATGCACAAAATCTTATTTTAAATTGGATCATTTTGCTGCCACGGAGGGTGTATACAGGGTGGTCAAATGCATACTGATATTTAAAAAGGAAAGGAAAAAAACTGCCCCACTTACATGGTGGTAGTCTTTCCAGCTCCATTGTGACCGAGCAGTGAGGTGATGTGGCCCTCATAGAAAGAAACATTAAGGTTTTCAATAGCCACTTGGTTACCATAGGTCTTGGTGAGACCATGGAGAGCAACGCCAACTGGGAGCTCTGAGAAGTATTCCCCAGTCTTGGTGGAAAGAGCGCTCTTTCCTGTGAGAGACACAAAGAAGACAAACTGTAAATTAATCTAACAGCAGACAAGAATTCCTTGTTCCTGTGTGTGCCACATTATAATTTGACGCACCTTTTCCCTTGTCATTGGAGAAGGCAAGCTGGTCATTCTGCATGATGTTTGTGAAGAGAAGTCCTTTGGCCGTATTCTTCTGTGGTCGAACACCGCACAGGTCAGCCCAGAAGGAGAGTTTGAATGGGAAGTACCACGGAGCAGGAATGCCATATTTTCCTAATGGGTAAAATAACTGCAAATAAATCTCACATACACAATATATTTATATTTACATACCTATTTACAGCCGGGACTACTAACCAAAGTAAACCAAAGTAAACCAACCTGCATTTGCTTCAACTAGAAACTGATTAGTGTACACTTCACTTGATATTTTAAGGCAACGCTTACACATTCGCCTATAAGTGAATTCTAACCTGTGTTATTCTAATTCTATCACTTTCTTTAAGAATAGGATGTATATAAAAGATGGACACAGCCACTGTTATCCATTGGTTGCACAGTGCTATCTTTTTAAGGCTTGAGCTGAAAATCTTTGCTGTCACCATCTTTTTGAAACCAAGCATGCAAGCTTGGATCCCACTATGGAAGCCAGGGAAACTGCACACTCATACAGAAGGAACCTATCAAACACTAGGAAACAGAAGGATGCCACAAAATGAACATCATGCTAAATCCAGACCACAAACTCATGCATCACGGGAGGAGAGAGCTGTTTTCCCATAGACGTCTATGCAACCAGCCCCCTGCTGGCCATGACGAAGAATGCACTCTTCAATTCAATTCAATTTTATTTATATAGCGCCAAATCACAACAACATTCGCCTCAAAGCGCTTTATATTGTACAGTAGATCGTACAATAATAGATACCGGGAAAACCCAACAATCTTCCACTTTTCTCATCACTTTTCTGATCGACAGACTACACTTATATTTTATATACAGTGTATATATCAGCTGACCTGACAAAAAAGACTAGCAAACAAAAACTCTAAAACATAAATAAATAATAACGATCGGCTTGACAAACTATGTCTGATGTACTAAAATGGCCACAGGACATCAGCATCAATAGCTGAGTGAAAGAGGTAATAAATTTGTTCTTTTTTATTTTTTTGTGCCCCAATTTACCTGGAAACGCTGTGCGAATGTAAGCTCCAATGGTGAAGTAGAGGATAGAGTCGAAGAGCATCAGCCAGCACAGCCAACCGAACGAGGCTGTGTCTCCAGCAATGGGCGAGGAGTATGAGTTGCTCCATTGAATTCCTAAAGAGGTTAACATAATGAAAGTTTTATGCTGCCTTTCACTGATTCACTTAGCTCACATATCAAAGGGATCTTGATGGTAGTCAGATGTCTACATGCTTGTACCTTCTCCTTGGGCCTCGTAGCGAGACATGTACTGACTGGCGTAACTGAAACAGGTCGGGGAAAACAATCCCTGTCAAAAAGACAGAGGGAAATCAGACAAGATGCAAAATGACAAGCAAAAAAAGGAGCAGCAAATATATATATATACACACACACACATACATATGTGTTTGTGTGTATGTTTATGCAGATAGCTCCATATTGGGGGTGACATTTTTGAGACAATCCAAACAAAAAATCATTCATTTTGTAAAAACAAAAAACAAAAACGTGTTCTAAAATGGATCGAATAAACAACATTTTCAAATGAAACTAACTGTCACTATATCTTCTTCTACATTATTTATCTTTCCAAACCAAATTACATTACTTGGTATTTAAATTATTACACAGTATACAAATGAGTTTCATATTCTTTAATGATGACAAATGAGGTTCACAGGAGCCTTACCAAGGCACTCTTCTGGATGAGCGTTAGACTGCCCTCCAGTGCGGAGACGATGATGAAGGGGAAGAAGCAGATGATGTAAAGCAGGCTGCCACTCAGGCCGGCGATGTAGGTTTTGTCAAAGAAGGAGCTGACAAGATAACTGAAGGCTAAGATGCTCAAGCCATAGTCACACAGGTACAGGAAAATGAGGAAACCGTCACTGTTGGGCAGGATTTTGCCGTGCTTCAGCACCAGTGTCATGATGATGATAGTCACCAGCAGGTAGATAAAACACTCCACGAACCAGGCAAAGAAGTGACTGAGTGTGTTGACTCCCATCATTTTCATGTACTGTGAGAAAAACATGAAGAGAAAAAAACTTATGAAACTGTCAAAACACATCCTGTGCCTGTCAATAAATATGGAATGGAATTTTTGAAAGTGAAAAAACAAAATAAGGAATTACATGACTAAGTCAATAAAATCACGTTTTTCTTTTTAACTTATCACGCTGTCTGTTTACCCGAAATAATTTGTATTTACAAATGACTGTGGGTGACTTATTACTTTTTGGAAAGAAAAGCAAACTTTTTTCTTTCAGGGAAAAAACAACATTACCTCATGCAGCCTCAGTTCTCTCTCATGCACAAGTTTCTTCACGAAATCAGCAATAAACAACACCCAGGCTACCATCAGCATGATAGGGAAGACAAAAGAGATGGCCTCCAGGTACCTGGGGAATACAGAGATGGCAATTGTCAATCAAATTCCTTGAAAACATCCAATCATTGTCAGCAGCAGCAGCAGAAGAAAACGCCTATCATTCAGCCACTGACTTGACAGATAGCGGAAGAGCAACATTGGGGTAGTTTGCAGATTCTGCCAGGAATCTTCCGATCCTTGTATTATTTACACAAATAAATGCCTTTCTACTGTATTTTTATTTTATTGACAGTCATATCTGGAGCCTGATAGACAGGCTTTTAGTGCTTGCCATTGTACAAATTTAATATCCATATTTCACAGCTATCATATCAGAAATTGTGCAACTGAGTAATAAATCAGAATGAAGGAAAAGCAACGATCACTACATCTTATAGCTGGTCACAAGGCAGCCTGCTAGAGTTTGTGGCCTGCTCATTCTTCTTGTAAGACATATCAGGAGTATCTTATGTCACACTTGAAGGCAAGCGCAAGCATACATATTAGGCTTGAGCATGATCTATTGGACAAAATGTGGCATATTGATGCCAAAAAAACTTTGGACTAGATACATACATATATCTATCTACCAAATTTTATGTGAAAATTAATGCATGAATTATGGAACTCACTCATCCCGGTGATAGCACGGATAGGGGAATGGCTGCAGCTGCACGGCAGTCTCTTTGGCTTTCTGTCCTGTCTGTGTCTCAATGATAGCTCGGTCAATGCTCTCCTGTAGGTAGATGAATCCCCGGTTGTAGCGCATTGTGTTTCTGCCTGAGATGTACGACTCCTTGACAAAAAACGGGTTCCGGGCTCTGTCAGTCCGCATTACATTGTCCATATGCATGCGGATAGTGTAGCTGACTTCGGGAGGCAGAGAGGTTGTGGCCTCACGCTTGTTTCTGGATGAGTCTGCATCTTTGGGAAGCTTGAAGATCACACCTGAAGGGCAGATTGTACAACCTCACTGTTTGGTTACACCAACTAATTTTGTAATTCATTACCCTAAATACAAAGTTGCAGGGTCACATCCCTTGTATCTATCTCATCTTAATACATTATCAACAGCCTTTAGAGAAAGCACTAGTGTCTAACCCAGAAACTAGTTGAGAAAAGGCCGTGAAAGGCACAATAACAACCTGAGTGGCTGTACACGTGAGCTTTAGTCATTTGCTATTCTGAGCCTAATGGGTGAATCATTGGAATTTCCCCTATTATTAAGGTGATATCACAGTTCTTTTTTACAGCATTACACTGTTCTAGGTCAGTTGTGTTCTCATACACATAATTTCATCTGTTAAGGAATTTTAGATTAACTGAAATTAACCTTCACTTAAGCAGATTAGAAACCACTGCTGGTCCTAGATACACGTGACATAATCTGGTAGATCTCATCCTTTCACACACAGATTCAACTCATTTTTACTCACTTGCATAGAGATCACGGTTTTTGGCAAGTTCCTGCGCTGCACTGTTGAGCTCGTCGGCAGAGTCAAAGCCCCGGTATCGGTCAAACTTGATACAGGAAGAGATGTCAACCATCAAGGTGGATAAGGTGTTGATGTGATCCACTATCTCTTTGTTCTTCTCCAGCATCAGCGTCATGTTAGCTTTGAAAAGAATGAAACTTAGAAGTTTAGTGAAAGGATTAAAACTCCAGGTGCAGTTTTATCTTTGATGGCAATAGAGTGCACCACTTTACATCGCAGCTCAGAAATAATGTGGTAATTGTGGAGTACATTTGATAATAAAGGTAGAATAATTTATTCGTACCATGTAATTATCAAAGTGGTGGGTTATAACACATTGGCTGTAACAATGCACTAACATTAATAACATTTTTTTGTCAGCCAACAGAAGCAACGATTTGCCTCTTCCAGGCAATGCTCTGCCTTATTATATGGTTACTCAAATAGACACAGTCTGATAATACAAGTGATTAAATTCAGTGTACATGTATGTGAATGTCACACCTGGGAAAAAATGAGTGACTCAAGAAGAAACAGCTTAAGAAATCCATGCAGAAATAAATCTAATGCTTCCTGTAAAGTCTCATCTTTCACCTCTTCTATGGAAGTGTGGATATTTTACCAGTAATAAGCGAGATGGGAATGTAAAGGTAAACGTGGTATATGCAGCTTACAAAAGTAAGACCTTCAAATGCTCACTTACAGAAGCTGCTGAGTGTCTCCTGCATTCTGTCTACATTGATGCCTGTCTGCATCTGAATGAAGTTCTTCACAAAGGGATTGCCAAGGGAATTCTGCAGAAGGGGAGAGAGAGTGGAAACGACGACATCAAGATTCAGCTGCAGAAACTCGTTGAAGACCACTGCATAGTTTACCTCTATATTTTCATATGACAGCAAGCCAGCTAGAATAATCAGATACAAGGACGACATTTTTGAGTTTTCATACCTGCAGCACTGGCAAAGTCTTTTTGAGTTTGTTCGCAGACGTAACAAGGAACTTGGAGGATTTTATCCAGTCTTCTGAATATTGCCTTGCATTTGCAAAATCTTGCAAGGTGGCATTGGCCTGAGCAGTGATAGGACAGACAAGAACATGTAAAATAGTTGGTTATGTGTATGAAGCCGTGAAGGTGGCAGTGTACAAAAAAGCAAAGTCAAACTCGCTCAAAACAGAACTACGGCTGGAGATGGCGATGCCTACAAATAAGTGTGTATCTTGTCAAATTTTAATATTTCTTGTTTGCTACATGCAGCTGGGGGTGAATGAATATTAAAAAATTAAAAAAAAACTAAATAAAAAAATATCTAGAAATAGCAGTGATAATAACTCTAGCAAAAAAAAAGGCCTCAGATGAGGGATTTTGAAGGATTAGAACATAAACTTTGTGAAGGTCACGGAGTCGCTAATCCCCAGTTAAAATGTTTGAAGTGAAAAACAAGGACAACGGATCAGAAAAGAAAGTGGAGATGACTATACACAGGGCCAGCCATGATCTCGCAGCTGCTGGCAGGTGAGTACATAATTAGTTTAAACAGCAAAGCAGCACAATACTGTCAGTCAGCAAGGTTCCCATTAAACTCAATCCGTCAGTCTATTGTTGTGTGCATGGAGCACAAGAGCTGACTTTAGATGCATTTGTTCTTTTATATTATATACCTTCTCTATTATGGCTCGTGTGCTGGGTGTATTGGGTGTGTACAGGATTTGTCCCATCAGCATTGGCTTGAGGAAGGCCCAGGCAATAGCTCCTCCTGTGGTGTTGACCATGTCCAGGTACATGTTCATACAGAAGGGAGCTACACAAAGACACAAAAGAGGAGCAGATCAGATTCACACACATTCTAAAGTGGAGGAGGCTTTTTTTTGCCCGACGTGCAAAGTCACAGGAGTTTCAAATTTTATAACAGCTTTTCAACAACTGGCTAGAATTGCTCTCCACTTGTTGTGGGTAGAAAAGTATCACAGGTACTGAAGTTGTGCACTTTATCGAGATATCCTTGTTTTAAACTTGTTTGCTTTTGACTGTGGCTCTTACATAACTACTTTTGCTGATTTACAAGAAAAAAAGAAAGAAACTAGTAATGGAACTGTTCCATTTTAAAATCTATTCCCTTCAGAACATACTGGCATTCCGTGGTATCTTGAACCTCTCAATCATCTCCTCCCTCTGTGGGTTGTTGGTAAAGGAAGGGTCCGAATCTGAGACGAGGGGCAGCTTGGAGATTCCAAAAAGAACCTTGATGCCATGGCTGCACAGCGCTCGAGAAAGGGTAACGAATGATCCTGCGCTGGAAGTGGTGGACCTCCGCTCCCTCACTGGATGTGGCTAAAAGAAAAAGCATGATGCTGTTACTTCCTATCTGATTCAGTACTGTGAATGCAGCAGAGTACTGAATCATTCACATTGTTTGCTTGGGCTAGGTGTAAGTTTAGTGATCTCACAAACATGAATATATTATTGATAAAGAGCAGTAAAGGTGGAGCAGTTAAAAGAACTCACTTGGCTAAAATGGTTGTTGGCTGTCAGGTTGAGGTTTTTGATGTTGTTCAGGTAGATTTGCAGTTGCTTAATGGCAGGAAGCATCTTGTCCATCATTTCTGTTATAGCCTCAGCCACCGAAACCATGATTCCCACCAAAGTCTGCATGTCGTCAGACAAAACCATCTGAAAGAAAAAAACATTTAAACACACTTTAATCACTGTTACACTTTTTTGACTCTCTTGTCTTTAATATTTTACAGGGTTTTGAAAACATCAGTCTACCACTGCAGTATAACACCCAACAAATAACTCATTTCGGTGATTAGCTACTATCGTGTCACCAAAAACCACAGGGAAAAGTTTCATGTAAGCTGAGGTTGTGCGTCTTTAACAAGTTTTATATCAGGAGAAAAAGACACAATCAAAAATTAGATATCATGAAATAAAACAAATTTTGTAAGTAACTAAAATGACCTTTCATGGTCAAACAGATAAAATGCTGCATTTAACCTTTACTAGCCTACACTTTGTTGAGCCTTGTATGAGTTTTCTGCCATGGGTGTGTATTGGGGGAAAAAAGGGTTTGTCTAGTAAACAAACATTTTCTTGTACAAAGGCCTTTTTTCTGGCTCACGTTGCTCAAACAAACACACCCTGGAAAAAAATGTTTTGTGAGTGCCCAACAAAAACAATTTCTTTGTCGAAGACAGATTTATGTGCCGTGACAGAACTCCCACAATTTTTTTGTGTGTGTATTCGTGTCTGTGTGTCCCTGTGTGAGTGTGTGTGTTTGTGGTTTTTTACATAACAATTATTAACAATAGACTTAAAGCCTTACTTTGTATAACACTTGTTCAATGTTTAGATGTCGAGTCATCAGCAGTGACAATGTGTACCACTGTTCAACAGACAGAGAGCAGAAGGTCTTCATCAGATCAGCCTCTTCCATGTTTGCGAGTGGTGTGGAGGGGCAGTGACGCAGGTTCACCAGCCAGGACAGGATCTGTTCCAAAAAACATGAAGAGAGTTAAAGAACCAGCTTATATGACCAACAGGGGAGCAGAAGGAAGGAGGCATGTAATGCACAAAAATACAGGCCTTATAGCACATATATATATCATCAATAACAAATTTGCATTTCCACACTGTTTAACTCAGGTCTCTGTGGGCAGCCGACTTTCAAATCCCTGTACTGGTGAGGCATTTGGAAACATAGTGGGTGTGAGTTCTGTCCCATTTAGTTAAAAGAAATGAATAAAAAAGACACTGTCTAGCATATTTATTAACATGAGTTTTGGATAGAGAAAAAATACTATGAGGCTTCGTGAAGGTGAAAGCCTGAAAGATGTTTAAACCGCACTAAAGATGTTCACAATCATGGAAATGAGTTTGCTCCAATTCAAAGGATGAGCAAGTCACAAATGTTACTGGCAGCCACTTAGTAGTCTATTTTGTCAGTTTACTCACCTATGTAGTGCGCAGACAGGCATGTTTTGCCTCCTGCTGGCTAAACTCTATTTAAGTGATTTCTTTGTAGTTTTTTTTTTTACATAATCTGCATTACACAGTCAAAGACATTAAGAAAGCAGCCTTTTATTCTGCTCTGCTGTACGTCTGCTTGAGAGAAACCTTCTAAATACAGTGACCAGTCACTGAGTAATTTTCATTAGGCTTGCAATGTTCCCTACAACATTAAAGATACAACCTGTTTTTTTTAGCTTTGTTGTAAATGTACTGTATAAAATAATTAAAAAGCAAAGCTATATTAAAGCTGTGGTATTTTGAAGCAGTCTTACCGACTCTGGATTTTTTTATAGACTCAGTGTTGTGTGTATTCAAATTTACTGAACAGTGACACAAGCTGTCTTTGGCTTACCACTAGATTGTTGTTTGAGAGCGTGCTGTTCATTAGGAGGTCAAGAGTTGCTGGATCCAAATCCATGTACTGCTGCACGTCCAGAACAAAAGCTGTTTTATTCTTCAGAATCTCACCAAATGTCATCACTCCTGTGAAAAAATGTCAAGTGAATACAGATCAAATATTGTCAGTTGATTCCTTCTGTTTCTGTATATTTTTCTAAGAGTTAAAATTACAAATAGATTTTGAAAGTTACAAATTGTTCATTAAAATGTATTTTACATTATTTGATTTACCTCTAAAATATGCTTATCTATAAACAATTAATCTAAAATACTGAAAGGCCCAGAATGTCACGCACACATTTATATGGTGATTTTATTGAATGTCTTTAAGCCCATTTTACTAACAATCACATGCAACTTGAGCAATATGCAGCTTGAGGGTCTTGCCCAAAGACCCTTTGACAGACTGGGGAAGCCAGGGGTTGAACTCCAACTATTTCTGACTGGCAGACAACCGACTCTACATCCAGAGGAACACAGGCACTGTCTAAACAATGCAGGAGCCTCACAATTCCTCGTAGATGTTTTTAAATTAAATTTAAAAACATTTAAATTTTGAAAAAAACATGTTTAAAAACATAGACCTGGTTTCAACCCAGTCACACTCAGTGAGATGGTGGGTTTGATGTTTACACGAGCAACGAATACGAACAGTGGAAAAATTGGTCAACGGAAAGACAAAGTGGTGGCATCAGATGGAAATGAGCAAAGGGTGAGCTAAAATTAGTATTTTGTTTAATATTTACAACGTGGAAGAAACAAATAATAATACATGACTAAAAGTTGACATTTTTAATTCTGACGGATCGAAATATACTTCTCGGTCACAATACGCCTAATTTAGGACAAAATTGATATATAATTTTACTTAGAAACTTTCCATCTTCCATATAAAAAATTTTAAGGTGCAAAATTCTTAAACTATTGCAACATAAAGAAATATCTCACTTGAGGAAGTGCCGTTAATGTTGAGAGAGCTCACGCTGCTGATGTTAAAGCCCAGATTTTGGCTCAGCACACTAGACCTGTTATCACAAACAGAAAACAGACAAACCCACTTTGAGCAATAAATGAAAATATACAAATATATATATATATACTTGGACAATTCAGTGATACAATGTATTTTGGAAATTAAATGGTAGATAAACCTCTAGTCAACTGCAAGAGCATCTTTCTTTGAAGAAAGTGCTACTCTCTGCTAGGAAAACCTTTGAAATAAAAACTTAGACAGAAGTATGATGACATCTTTGTACCAGTCTGTGTGGACATTGTAGCTCCTGGGGTCCCCGATTACAGTTTGATAGAAGATATCAACCAAAGATGTTGTGTTCATCACCAGACCCTCAATTATGACCTCTAGGCTGGGCAGGAAAGTGTGACAAAGCTGACCGGACTCTATGTTGAGGCTCTGCATCAGGAGGTGTACAGTCTCTGTATCCTCTAACATACACACCTGTAAGAAATCAGTCACATTATGAAGTGCAATGACGAGTTTGTCTAAAGATTAAACATATGCAAGACAGATCAACTGGTCTCTTGTGGGACTATTTTACTCAGTGGGGAAATTAAAAATTACATATTTTGAGGATTTATAATCAAACCAATAAAAAGAACTTGTTCTTTTTGGGCGCACCATTTCACCATGTTGTACAGGAGCTGCATGCTAAAAGATCTTTTGTTAAAAGGGTTGGCGTAATAAGCAAATGCTTCAGCCAATACCTTTTGATTAGCCTTGTCTCATGCTTTCTTATTTGAATGCTAATGTCTATTTCATGCTTTGGAGAGGGATAGCATAAATGGACCCACATGTAAAAGTTGCATTACCAACTTCTGCATGCGTGTATATTCCGTTGTGAGAAAAAGAACGTACGAAGTACATTCCAGGGTCCTTAATCACCAGAAATGATTAAGCTAGATGGCTAACATGTATTTACATGAAAATGTGTTCATGTCTGTTTAAACCCTTTCCTATGATTATTTTCATGTTTGCTTGAAAAAAAAACTCCCTCTGCTTTACTGCAACTTCTGCATATGTGTGCATTTCACACTTTGGAGAGGCAAGTGTGAAATGTACACGGTGGACAGGCGTGTCTATTACCCGTTTTGCTGTGATATTCATTTGAGATAGCTTCACTATTAGCCTTAAAAAAAACAGGGCTTGTTCAAAGTGTTTCAGTGTTATTTTTGTGGAAAACTGATGTCAATGCTGTGGCTACTTATTAAACTCAGCAGTTTAATAAGTTTGCACCGGTCTCTCTGGGAAAGTAGGCTTCAGCTAAATAAAGAATCAAATTAAAAACTATATTTCCATAGGTATATACAGCGCAAGTGAGACTACATGTGTGAGGTTTGCAATAACAAAAGGATATACATTTTAAGTAGTTCTAATTAAATCATCTGTTAGTAAAATATATAAAAACCCACACAGTGTTTTTCATGGAAACACACTGCTTCCACCTCATCTTGGGAATGTAACAGCATGTATAATTATGACTTACCTCATAATTACCTTTTAGTTAGTAGAGGTGGGAATCACCATACATCCCACGATACGATATTATCACGATACGATATTATCACAATACTTAACGCACGATACGATATTATTGCAATTTTTTAAAATATTTTGCGATATTCAGATTCTGTACATAAAGGTAAACTTTATCATTAATCATTTTATCTAATAACAAAGTCTCACACTCAGTCTTTGTCTCATTTCAGTCAGTTTTATTGTTGACAAACTGAACGGTATCCAAGTATTTTCCACAATGTAAAAGGAATAAAACCCTGGGATTCTCAAGTATAGTAACAACTTTTTAATCGTGTTACCAATTTCTCATATACGATCTTAATCTCTAAATTATAAGAAAGGACCTAGACAGTTGTTTTGCTTTTTGAAGCAGCGAGCATCTGTAATTTTCAGTTGTGAGTTATTATTTTACATTTTGTTTTAATGATAAATGTGTGCAATCAGAGTAATTAAGTCACAAACCAGGTATCTCAGGAGGTCTAGATTTTCTTTAAACTGTGGGTCTGTTGGGAGGGTCTGGAAAAGCTGACCAGCTGTTTTGATGATCTGCTGCACAAGCATCAGGTTCTCTGTGAACAGTGAGTGAGAGAGAGAAAGCGAGAAAGGGAAGAGAAAATGAGAGTGAGAGGGATGCTATTAGAGTTTGTAGTCTTAGGGAATAAGGTCTGTAAGGTGACAGAATAACATGACATCCCACTGGGCTTCATTACAACTTGCACCATTACGGGGCATCGTCATCAAGCAGCAAGCAGCAAATGATGTGCTTAAAGTGAAACCCTGTACTAGACTGATGGGGCCAGAAGGGCCAGCAGTACTAGATGCTGTCGTGCATTAAAACACATCTGACAAGCCCTAAGAAAGGCACCACCTCAGGCAGCAAGATATGATGACAGAATATTTAATTAGTCCAAAATTAGACAATGTTGATGTTTAATCTCAGGCTGCTAAACACCTACAGGCCATTGCAATTACAACAGTGCACTGTGTGTGAGTGCATCTGTGTGTGTATGAGTAAATATGAGTAGGGCTGCAGAGAAGTGAAGCTGCTGCTGCTTACAAAGTGATTCTATGTGCTAGAAACATTATCACACAAGCACAGACGCAAATTAAAAGGAGGTCATAGATGTCCACTTGTGCAAGTGCGAGGGGAGACGTTTAGTGAGGGCGGACAGGATAAGTGATTGAATTCTACTTTGCTAATGAGATTTAAAAAGGTGCTGAGTGGCTTTCTGCTGGAGAATGGCCATATGGCCTTGGGCTCTTTGGGAGCTCAAGCTAAGCTGGTGTGAAGTCTTATTCCTCTTATCTCCAGAATTAATTTTGCAATACTTTAATCATGTATACAATAGCAACAGCATTGGCAAAATATATTCTGGTCTTGCTGTGGTCTCGCAAAAGCTATAAAAGCTGAAGAAAAGGGTGGCATTGCTCTAAATAGCAGATTGTTGCTTATATGTACATACCTTTCCAGCAGGTATGTAAATACAAGCTGAAGCATCAGCGTGAGCTTGACAGCATGGCAACAATTAGACTTAGCATGGATAAAAGGAGATTCACTCTGGAGTCAGAATTGTAAAGTCACTTTAGTTTAACTAATAAATGTGCATTTCTCATCATAATGCTCCTCTTGGACAAAGAAGACTGTAAATGTCCAGACTGGGTCAAAAAGAACTGAGCCCTTGAGTTACCTTGAGATTCATTGGCTAGTGCTCTGGTGAAACTTTTAATCACAGAGGAGTATGGTAAGGCATCAGGAAGCATATCCACCACATTCTTGAGGAGATCCATTGACGACCTACAGGAAATAGGAAGGACTGTTTGTTAAACAGAGGCTTTTAAAATAGTTGACTATAAGGCAAACAAACTAAATTGAACGTTTCTAGAAGCTAGAACAAATATAGATCTCACAATACATAGTGCACAAGATACATTCTTTTTTGTCACACCTTAAGCTGTAATGAAGGACATAAAAATAACACTTACTTTTCAAAGACGTCAGGGAGCGTCAGGAAGGAGAGTACCCCAAGTGCAGCATCAATGGTCTCTTCTCGAGAGGCATTCAAGCCCCACTGCATGCCACTTGTAGCTCCCTTCATCACAACGCTCAAATTGGGATCGGCAAAGAACACATGGGCTGTTTCCATAATTTCTGGTGTTGTAGGAGGGACAGCCAGAGCTTTGAACATGGTTGGGTAGTCAATGTAGAACAGGTCTATGAAGTCATTCATTGGGTCTGTTGTCATCATTAATGAGGCATCACGTCTGCGTCTGACCAAATGTGTGTGGTAACCGTCTGTCATTTCTGAGCCACTCAAATGTTGGACCATTGGGTCTGGAACATTACCGGTGCTTACCAACTGCCTAAACATAGCAATGACGTTTCCTACTAAGTCTTCCAGGAGCTCTACAGTTGCTTGCATGTCTGTGTTCATCTTGGCCAGGGCAGACAAGACAGGCCTTATGATGTCATAGGATCTGAACAGAGCCTCACTCAGCAGGTCTAGCCCAGATGCTTCGGTGGAGTTTAACCACATAGACAACTCGGCCACCTTCTCTGCTATCAATTTTGTGTCACTGGATCTCAAAATTTCCTCCAAGACTTGGTAAAGCATAGGATCATCACCAAATACCTTAATGTTAATCATCAGTCTGATAACTTCTGTTGTCAAGTCGTAAAGAGATGCAGTTGTGTTCCCCACCGGGATGGAGAAGATATCATAGGAGGAGATGTTTGCAGAGGAAAGGAAGCGCATTGCTGCTTCTTTGAGGAGCTCCTCGGCTGATGGGCTCTGTTGAAGTAGTTGATAGTTGTCCAGGATGTAGCCTGTAGCATTCACAAGAGCTTTCATGTAGGGCTGCAAGGCCGGGGCCACATTATGCAATTCATCTGAGAGCATTTTGATGGAAGACAAACTGTAGAATAAAGAAATTGACTGAATGTCAGGTTAAGCAGCACAGTACATCAAACATGGTCTCTGTGACTGTGACTCTGTAAGCTGTCTCATGTAAAAAATATAAACATGAGTTCAAAATCTGGAGATTATTGGAAAGCCAAAATACTCATTGAATATAATGAAACAGATTTTTGAATTGGTCTTTTCAATACTATGATTAGATATAACATTCAGATTTAGAAAGAAGACATATTTCCTCTTCATCAGCCTTTTCCCATTTCATCTTTGATGAAAAAGACTGTAGAGTGTTTCCACTGTGATCAGTGATCTATGACTTATGTAGTAAGACCTGACTGATTCCCTGCGATATGCAAAATGTGATCCTTATCACCACGCTGGTCTCATTATAGCAGCTGGCATATAAAGGGAAATCAATTTTAAGAGGATGTCTCGGCTAGCTGGATTGTAGTTAAGCCGCTATCTGTGCAAGCCTGCCAGTTTTCAGGCAGGCTTGCATTAAATTAATCAAGTTCAATGCAAATGTGATCACTTCACATCCTTGTGTAATTATGTATGAATCAAATTGGTTTGACTGGAGCATCGTGGATAATGCTGTTATACCAAATGGAGTGGCAAGTTCATGGTGAGTTCATGTATACTATAGGTGAGTCATTTTCTGTGGTTCTTTATAAAAAATTAAATTGACTGTTAACAGAATTTAGTGGGAATGTAAAGAACATTTCCACATTCAGATACCATGTTCAGGGGGTTTCTAACGTGGCTGTACGACATTTTGTTATGATTGTGTCTTGTGATTGTGATCTACTGAAGGATTGGATTACTCTGATAAAACTATGACACGATTCTCATTCCTCATACTTGCTGTGGTCATAAAAACAGTTTGCTCCTCAAGAAAGTTTTGAAAGTCTAAATCCAGCTAGATGGGATGTCTCATCAACAGTCACTTAGTGATTCAATGGATTGACCATTTTGACCATAAAAAACATTTCCTCTAAAACATAGCAAACCATGGTCACTGCACATAGCAGTGAAATTATCTGACTGTAGCTCACCTGTTTTGCAACTGCATGTCTTGGAGCTGGTTTTGCCAGTAAAGCTGTTCCTCAGGACTCATAGGCTGCTCTACCAGCATTGAGAGGTGGTTGGAGAAATTCATGACCAACTGGTTTATCACAATTATGTTGTTAATGTTGACTTGGTAGAGTGACTTTACAGTTTCTACAATCCTAGCAGCTGTGTCGCTCACATTGGTTGGTCCCATGATCATCTGCTTTAAAGACAACATAGAGCAGAGAGGGACCATTAGCAATCAACAACTTTCTCCGTGCGTCAACACTGACCCCAAGTGGTAAAACTGTTAATTGTACTTGCATGTATGAATGTGGTATATATTTTACTATCAAGTGAAATTAAGTAGTACTTAATTTGACATTTTTATACTTACACTCAAGTTCATTTGGGAGTAGAGATTCTGTGCGGAAGCATAGGCCTCCAAAACAGGCTGCAGGCTGATGTTGCACCACACAGCCATGGTGTTAGGGCTTAACCCTGCTGCCTCACTGACTGTCTCCCACACTTTGAGAACTTCACTGCACTCCAAGGTGCCATTAGCCTATAACAAGACAAAAACATGTGTCACGTTTTTCATAAGCACTGAATAAACCTGTTCAGTTACTAAGACGAAGAAATGAGAGAAAGGTCAGAAGTCTCACACAGATATTTTCACTGGTACACACCCACAAGCAAGCTGCTCTTTTAAAAAAAATGTATTTACAAAGCAGCAAGTGTTTCTGTCACGCCAAAAGTCTATGACAGGAATTAATGTTAAGGTAGGCTATAATAACAAATCTAACAGTAGCATTTTCAGGAATTAACATGATATGAATACATAAATATGCACTGATGCCAGGAAAGCATTAACAACACATCAATACTTGTTTCTGTACAGTCAATAAGTCAGCAGCAGGTGTGCTTAACATAATCTTGTGATTTTATGGTTTGTAATTTATGTCAATTTGTGAGCTTTTGAGATGTTACCTATGGATAAAGGTATCCTCTCTCCTTGTTAGCTGTTTTCAAGTTACATTAAGTTAAACTACCCTTTTAGCTTATTTTAGTCTACCAATTTAAGTAAGCTTACAGAGCTGCTAGAAATGCTATATCAACATATTAACTCAATAGATATTTAAGTGATATCAGTATATACATACAGCTTTCAAAAGGCAAGTCATTACTGCCACACCAGTTTAAGAGAGCAGCACATTGCAAACAAGCGCAACAGTAGTTGTCCTGCAATAAATCAAGTTATGTGTTTCAAATATGTCTCAGTCAAGGCTGAAAAAACATTTTAAAAAAGACCAATTCTGATACAGATATTTTGGATTAGGCAAAATATGTTGATATTATCAACTGGCCAGTATATACTATAAGACTTAGAAGTCGAGTTTGGGGGTCGTACGCTGACAAGTTGTTATTGTGTGTGTTATTTTGTGGTTCAGCAAGACTATATAATGCCTACCTGGCATAAATAACAAAAGAAAAAATATCAAAGCTTATATATAGTCAACAACTCTACCCTGGTGTTAGCCATAGCTAAATGTTTTCTGTGTCATCGCATCAGAATCTTGTCTGTCTACATCTGTCTAAATCTGCCAAAAGTTAAATAACTCAACAAATTCTGATGCAGAGAAGTGGAACAGAGAAGAAGCGAGAGAGAGAAAAAAAACTTTACTGCCTCACTGTTTTAACTTCTGTCAAGGATGAAGGAAGGAAGACAGACATTGCTGTGTGCGATTACGCACACACATACACATGCAAACATTTCCATAAATGAGATACTGGCAGATGACTAGGGAGACACTTGCACGAATGATACAGCAAGTCTAAAAAGCATTCTTTCAATAACACTGACCTGCTGAGCGGCCCGCACTGTGCTTTCAATGGCAACCTGAAATTTTTCCAGGACTTCAGAAAAATTGTAATGAGTGTTGTTCAAAGACTGTGCAACTTCTCTCATCAGGTTCAGGATGGGAATTTGAAGGCTTTGTATCATCACTGAAAAGAAGAAGACAAAATGGCTTGACCCACAAGTTTTGAGAAAACAAAACAAAACAGCAGCAATACAGCACATTAGTAAAAGTGGCAGACATATCAGGAATCATCTCTTACTTGGCATGTGCTGCATTAGTCATAAGTTGTGTCTAAAGAACAAGTAAATAAAAGTACACCTGGCACTATATGTTCTTCCTTAACATTCTCACCATTTCCAGCTTTGATGTTCTCCACTAAAGTTCCAACCATTTTTTCAAACTGTGGGATAACAGACGTTAAATGGTCCAATAACTCTGTTCCTTCAAGGGTGGACAACAGGGTTCCCAGCATTTGTTCAAGCCTGTAACAAATTAGTAACATATTAGGTATGATTTAGGGCAATCACAGAACAGAGCGGCAGTCTTTACTGTGGAGCAAGTTACAATTGCTGTCAAATTATCGTGGGCATCAGGGTAATTTGGGGCTTTTAATGATTTATTTGAACTGTTACATATATAAACAAGTGCAGATTCAAAGATCAATCTGGAAACCCCCAATACTCAAGGCTGCCATGAACTGGAAACCACAGCAATGCCAGCATCACTATCCACAGTGAAGCCAGATTTATATTGCCATGGACTGACACATCTTGAAATCTGTTGCTGCCCAAATGAAAAAGTCAAATGCCTTCTAAAGATTTTTTTTATGGTCACACAAGCTATTTGGACACCCCAACATTAAATGGGTTTGGAGTAGTAAAAGAAAGGTTTTCTAACCTAAGAAATCTTTATCAGCTTTCAAGCATATTGGTGATAGGATCATGGGGCTGTTTTGCTACTGATACATTAAACAAAACTGATGGAATAATGAAGAAGGAGGACTACCTTGAAAATCTTTGAGTGGATGCTCCAAAAGTAGAATGATGCCAAACAAAAAAAAATTGTTTTTGGAATGAATAAAACAGGCTAATGTTAGGCTGCTGCGATCAATTTGAATGAACTCTGCCAATTCTGCCAAGATGGGTGGTTAAATATCCATCCAGAATTATGACCGGAAGCTTATTGATTGCTACTAAAATTTGGTTGAGGTCCAACTTCCCAAGGCACATTTAACAAAAATATTACTGGGGTTAAATGGACAATAGAAATAAATATATATTTATTCAATCTTGTGCACCCAATTCCTGTTTTTTCAAAGTTAATCAAAGATTCTTATCAAAAGGATAAGAATGTACACAGTACAATTATTACAAAAACAACAGTTCAATGAAATCATTAAAAGCCATGAAACTGCCATGAAATGTATGCCCATGATGAGTGTATGTAAACTTTTTTTTTTACAACTATAAAACAAAATTACTTCCTACACATATCAGGTATGCAATTTAATATCAAACTGCTGTATAACAACAAGCCATTTGGATTGTTACCATTACACTGATAATTACACTTACTTGTTCCATGTGTCTTGGTCTGCATTCCCAGTAAATATGGTCCTCAGGACTGGAACAAGTTGAGTAAAAGCCTCCAGGGATGGAGCAGTCATATGTGAGCCAGTGCCTTCCGCAACCAGTGGCCAAAACATGCTCACAAGTTTGCCCAACTAATAATAAAAAGTGTCAACAATAAGTGTGCAGTTTGGAATTAGAGGCCTAGCAGTCCCGTGAGATGTTTTTATTATTAATAAAATTATTATTAATTAAATGTCATTTTTAAATTGAACACTTTTAGATGTTATGTTTTCAATATATAAATGTACGTTAAACTAATTTTACCAGACATATAATAAAATAAAAATTAAAGTGCAGACATTTTACCTGCTGAATGATTTGTTGTGCATTGTCTGCTGATGCGTTTTCAAAGCCTGCCCAGAGGTTCATGTTACCTGAAATCATTAAAAAACATGTGCTCACACATCAGGCCTCATTTTCAGTATCTAACATACTAATATGTTAGATACTTATAGTAATCACCCATGTGGAACTGCAAGCAGAACAACCAACTCTTACAACATACATCAGAAGCATTGTGGTACTTTGATCTACTTTTGTTCTTAGGCTTTTTGGCATAAATGCCTGAATGATGAAGTGCACAATATGACCTCCACTCAATCAGATTTCATCAGGATTTAACATGCTGTCCACCTACAGTGGTATTGAGAAGCTGACTTGCCTTGGCCATACTCCAAGATAACCTGAGTGATGTTAATGAGGGCAGAAATGTAGGGCTGGACTGGGGATTGCTGTGACAGGAGGCTCTGCAGCGTCTTCATTTCATTGAAAATTCTTAGGAAACAAAGCAAATCAACCTTTCAGATCTTAACAAGTCTTATCAAAAGTTCTTTGTGTTCTCTAATGATTGCATAGAATAGAACTGCATGCATGCAATCATTCTGTTAATTTATTTATTTTTATCTCAGAGCATTAATAAGGATTAGAAGTACATGTAAAATCCCTAGTACCTAAAATAAGCTTTTTATTTGACAAAAATAAAAATAAAATATAAGAGAGAACTTTTGGACAAGATCTAAACTACAGTCAAAGGAGCTTGCAAAGAAAAGCGTCTGGACTTCTTTAAGTTACTTGAAGACGTTTCACCTCTCATCCGAGAAGCTTCTTCAGTTCTAAGGTCAAATGGTGGAGAGTCCCAGATATAAACCTAGTGGGAGTGTCCCTCCACAGAGGGACAAAAGGACCCCCTAATGATCCTCTAATCGCCTGAGCCAAGATGTGAAACTGGGTGTGGGTCCCAATCAGCCAGAGTTTCGGGTGAGTTCATTGTGAAACCTGGCCCCACCTTATCATGCGAATTCCTGAGGTCACAGACATCTAAACTACAATTAGACCTATAAACTACAATTAGACCTATAAATTTTCCTTAGAAAAATTAAACATCAGATTTGTTAAATTTCACAGAGAACTGCAATAGGTTGAAAGTATTACTACAGACTACTTTTGTAGAGTAAAAATAGACTAAAATATCTGTTGCAGCTAAAAATATATTAAGAACTTTAATTTGAAGCAACTTGCAATTTTGGGTGCTGGAAAAGCAAAGTGATACTTACTGCACTTGTTTATTTTATAGTAAATCAAAAGCATGCTTTTAGTACATCTAATGCTTTATTACATTTAATACATCATATATTACTTTTTGTGAGGCATTATTTTAAAGCAGTCCCTATTCTTAAAGCTATTTTGAAATGATTCATATTTGTTAAAGAGTACTCATTCGAGCCCCTTCTGTTACAAAATTATGGTAATTGTTTACAGTAAAGGAGGGAAACTCACATCTGATTCAGGCTGTCTTGTCCATTGGCTTCAGAGATGGTCTCAAAATATGTTTTTACAAACTTGAGTGAGCCAAGCATGTATTCTGCAACCATTTCTGGTACAGTTTGTTGGATGATTCTCTCAACTTTCTCCAGGATGACGATGGAGATGTTTTTAGCTGAAGCGAAGCTCATGTTTCGTTGGACAATGAGATTTACTGACTCTTCCACAATTTCCAGAAAATCTTGCTGTGGCAGTGGGATAACAGTAATGTTTGGGATCTGTATAACATGTTGCACTACTTCTACAATGGCAGCTATGAAGCTTTCATCCTGTAGGCCTTGTTGCTCTGCCACCATCACAGCTTTGCTTAGAGACTCTGTGATATTGTTTATTATGGAAAGGTAGGCCAGCTGATCATCACTGAGAAAATTTTCCACTGTTTGCAGGATGTATTGGAGATCTGTCACAGGGGTGGCAATGGTGGAGTTTTTCCATTGGATCATACTGCTAAGGAGCAATGTGACATTGGGCTCTGTCATCCACTTCTCAATGAGACCAAGGTACTGCTTAATTTGGAGTGCCGTGGAATGCAGAATGGTTGCATCGAAGTGCTGGTCAGAGCCTTCAGTGTTATTCCATGACTCGAAGTTGACCTCTATTAAGTCCAACAGATGCTGAAGAATCTCAATTGCTGTCTGGCCAATTTCACTCACAACGGTGCCATCTATTGGGCCCTGGAGGCTGTTTATTAGGAACTGGACCTTGTCACTAACAAACAAAGAGAAATTTGTCTGTGCTAGCTGTAATGCCACTTGCATTTGTGTGATGGAAAAGAAAGGATGAAGGAGCTCTGCGGTTGCACTATCGCTGGTGATGTTTTCCAGCCGTTTCAAGTACCATTTTATAAGATTCAGATATACTATCTGGACTTGCAGAGGGTCCGTCATTTGGGAGGTGTTTACTGGCTGCATGTCGGCAATCAACTGTATCAGACCCTCTACCACTTGTATTTCATTCATGATCTCTGGAGTGTTTAGGTGGCTCTGGTCTAGGCTCATCTTGATATTAGTTAGGATGAGATTCAAGCTGTCTACAAGAACCATGTTAGGACCGGAGTTGAAGTTAACTTGGGTGAAGTCATTGATAGTCTTATTGACAATTATAGGGATGAGGGAGATAATGTCTGTGTTGTTATGGAGAGAAGGTACCTGTGTCAGAAAGCTGCTGAACATATCTATGAGTCCGGTAACACACTTGGTTGTTACCATGATGTCATTCTGGGGTTCAAAACAGCTCTCAACATTTGCAATCCCGATTATATTTGACATGAGTTCATTTATGTTGGAAGCTCCAGCTAGCTCGGCAATAGCATTTAGGTCCTCAATGGTTAGGTTTGTCTGTGTAAGGGCATTCTGGACATCGGACACGGTAACATTTGGTGTATTCATGACCAATTTGATGAATTGGAGGGTCTGCTTGAATGTTTCCAGAGAGGCAGCATCATTTGGTGACAGGAGCAATGAGAAAACCAAGGAAGCTGTGTTTTCATATTCTTTATCCCCCAAACCAAATGGACCAATTTTGATGGTGACGGTCCCATTGGCTGTGAGCATCATGTCTAATATCTGATCCAGAAATTTAGAGATTTCTGAAAATCCAGCCAGACAGTCCTCGCCTGCTGCACATTTGGTTATATTACTCTGCAGAGCCTTGAAATCCTGAAGAAACTGAGCAGCATCACTTTGGATTTCCTTTGGCAGGAATGCTACAAATTTCTGGATAACGATGTCCTGGGCAGCATCTGGTCCAGCCTGAGTGAGGTTCTGCAGGCTCTCAGGTGTGAGGAGGTTGAGAAAGTCCATGGAAAGCAAGTGGAGGTCAGTGACTTGAGCCGTGCTGTACTGGTCATTTAGGAACATGACATGTTCAATTTTTCGTAGCCTATAGAGGGAAACCACAAACTCTTGAATCTGACGGATGTACCCAAGAATGATCTCAGTTGGGTCACCATTTGGAGAGTCCATCACTGTCTTGAACAGCTCCACAGCACTGATGATGGCTTTTACAAAACCCACTGAGGTCTGGTTGGTGAAAGGCTCAATTGCTTTTATGAGACTGTCCACTTCATCAGAATGAAAGTAATTAGAATAGGTAAGCAGAGTGTGTCCCATGATGTTTGGGAGAGACAATGTGAGGTTACCCTCCAAAGAGAGGAACTCCCTTATCAGCTTTTCCAGTTCAGGCAATGTTGGGTCTGTTTCATTGAAGGTAAAAATATGCTGGTTTAACCTGCCAAGTTTGGAGGCCACAGCAAGGATTGTGGAGGCATTAAGCGGAGACTCTTGGCTGAGCAGAGGAACAAGTGATGACAAACCCGTGGACTCTAACAGGGCATGAATGTTTAGAGTCATGGTAGCTGGGTTAGTGATGTTTTGATTGGGAAGCTGGGAGATTGTACTGAGGAATACATCCAGGTTATGCATCAGATTAATCAGGTAATTAGAGAGGGCATCACCTCCTTTGATTTCCTGTTTCAAATATACAGCTGTCGCATTTGTATAGATTTCACCATACACATGTTGCAGTAGATTCACAGATCCTTTGAGCCAGCTACAGAGAAGAAGAGTAAAACAGAACATGCCAACTTTATAAAGTCCTTAAAGCAATGCACGTGTAACATTAAAAATAACAGAGAGAATTGAGCGTTTTTGTTTAACTGTAATATGAAATGTTGTTGTCAAACAAACAAACACGTTATGCTAGCACGCCTTAAGAAAACATTTTTTGTAGGCTACTAGTTACAAAAAGGCAGCACGGCAGCAATTCCTGTTGGCTTGTTAAATAGGCAGCTCACTGTAGCTACTTATTTAACAAACATAACAGAACAGCGTAAATCTCCTTATCTACACTGATTATTATGTTTTTAAAAAACAGAAGACATGCTTCAATTCTAAAGCATAAAAAATCCACGTATATTTCAAACAAAACTAAAAATCTTTGTCACTTACTTCACAAGGGCATCACTTGGTGACATCAGAGCCTGAGTCATTGCTTGAACAAAGTGTGGCCAGTTGAAACCAGTGTCACAATGAAGGGCTAAGTTCTTGTTCAAAGAACCTACAAAGCAACACATGCTAGGAATTAGCTGCATTGACTGGAACAAACCGGATTAACAGGCTTTTACACGTAACTAAATAAATATATTTTGTAACTGAGCTCCTTTGATTTGTAGAATTATAATCCTTTTTTTTTGTTGAACGCAGTTTAGTAGTCACATATTGTCTAAATATATTTAGATATATTTGTATGATATTTGTATATATGTTAGTTTTCAGTTCAGTTCAGTTCAGTTCAGAGAAGAGAAGAGAAGAGAAGAGAAGAGAAGAGAAGAGAAGAGAAGAGGAACTCACAGTTTGCTGGCTGAGTGGTGACATCAGGGTGGTAGTTCAAAATCCAGTAAGCAATGTGGAAGTAGTCCTTTACCGGAGGCCACTGATCACTATTTTCAATTCTTTCACCAAGACTGATCATAAACCACACAAGACTATAAGCAAAGAAAAATCACAACATGTCTGAGTCAGTAAAGTAATAACACACACCTTGTAAAGCATTGTGCACATTATCTGAAATCTGTTTTCTTCTATTACATTTAGTAAAGTGGGAAATCTGCACAGTCTTATCAAACTTAAATCTAGTTACCAAAAGAACCCCCGTATGTTAGACCTGTTTCTTATGTGCTAAGTTTGTTATGCTATGTTGTTATCCAAGTAGAAAATGAACACTTTGTCAAGACCTTTTTTGAAGAGCTCCAGAAACAAACTGGGTGTTGTTGTCGGGTATCCAGTTCATCCAGTATTCTTCATTCAGCTTTTCTGTCATTTCGGTCAAAAGCTCAGCAAACTCCAAGCTCTCCTCATACAGCTCGTGCCACTCAGACAGAATCTTGGGAAGTGTTATGTTGAAATCTGCTTCGCCTGTTAGGATGGAGTACAGATCTTGTCCCTAGGGATTATAATATGAACGATATAAGACACAAAGAAATTGTTTCTTTAAACAGTTAAAGCAAAAGATTAATAAATCCTTAAAAAAACATATTTATACTTTTTAATTTACAGGATTAAGCCTTCCTTGTTAAGAATCTGTTGCTTTTCACTTGAGTAAGTTAATTTATTATAATGTAGTAAAATATTATTACATAATATAGCATTTTTTTAGACCACAAGTTGCACATAAAATATATTTTTACTTTTTTAATCAAGTCCTCCCAGTCCATCAGCAAAGCTTGTTGCAGATTCCCGTTGTTGGGGCAGATCAGTGCTGTCCATACTTCAGTTTTTATGCTATTGGTGGATAACAGCCAGTCCAAGGAATCCAGAACTTGTTCACATTTTACATCCTCAGTTGACATCACCTGGTAAAACAGAACAACACATCATCTGATTTACTGCGGAAGCCTTGAGGGAGATACTTAATGTTTGAAGTGACAATGAAAAGCTCAACTTACAGCGGAGATCACATGTGTAAGATGCCAGATTTTGACACAGAACCTGTTCACAGGCTAAAAGTTAAGGTCAGTCAACATTAATCCTACATACCTTCATAACTACTTCCATCACACTGTTGAGGACACGGTCCATCAAAGCGCGTGACTCGGACTGGTTTGTCAGCAACGTATGATAAATCATTTGGAGGTCATTAGCATCGTCCAGGACATTTTCTAGAATGTCTGCAAAGACAGAAACAAACCAAACTCAACTCAGTGAGAAAATTGGTTTTTGGATTAGGCCATAAAATCAGTAACTTTTCCTAGTTTAGACACTTTGTTAAGTTACAAAAGACACACATATCACTTCAGTACAAGTGTTGTTTTGTCCAGTTTTGCTTGTTTTGTGTGTGCGTGTACTTTCCCACAGGCTAACTAATCTGATTGGGTTCAACGTTTCATCTTTCATCAGTCCCATGAGAAAGGGTGTGAACTTTTTCCATTCATGTCTTTGGTATGTATTGTGTAACGCAACTGATGATAAAACAAAATGTCCGCTGAGTGCACAAGCTTCTCTATGTCTCAAATGCTGCTCTCTTTTTAAACCTGACATTCTTACAGCCCATGTCTTTTATTTTTATTTTAGTTTATGTTTCCCTGTTGGATGTATAAGAATCACCAATAATGCTTGGAAAGCCATTTTAATAGTGCTGGAAATAAAAGTGAAACATTCACCGTAATGTTAATTTTCAAGTAAATGCTCTCACAGGTGAGACCTCACTATGGACATGATGCTTTGTTGTCATACCTTTTAGCATGTCAATGGTCTCTGACGCTAGCTTCATGGACTGATAACCAGTTCTGAGGATGCCCTGGACAACCGTATTCACCTCAGGCACATTTTGTACAAGTTCCAATGTTGCCTGACCGATGTTCAGAAACCTAACAAAGCAAATGATAAGACTCAGCTTAAAGCACAAGACATCAAAATTACAAGAATCACAGGAGAACTAGCAGAACAAATTAGTAATACGAAAGTTTTATCAGCTTCAGATCAAAGGTAAGAAGAACAGTCATTTTAGCTTCAATTGATTTTCTACTAGTATTAGTAGTATTTAAATCGGAGAAAACACTGTACTCACAGCTCTTCCTCTGCGTTTTGTGGTTCTGTATCTGAGCTGCGCTTGGTCCTTGTGATGTTGGAGGCTTCAGATTCTCCTGAAGAGAAATATCCAGTCAGATTGTAGACCAGTCCTCTGGCAAAGAGCACGTCGTGTTTAGCAACCTCCTTAATCCAGGCCAGGAAAACCTGGGAACGAAATATGAATCTCATCAAAACATCAATATTGTAAAGCCACTGCTAACTGAATACCGTTGAGGTTTCTGTGCAGGTGTGGACTGGAAGATGTGGTTGCTTCTTGCTATCACGAAAGCATTTCGAATGTCATCAAATAATTATTTGGCATGCTCTTAATTGTAAGTCGCATTGGGAAAGCAAGTTAGGAGCATATGGAACAATTTTAAAAAACAATCAAAACAATGGAAAAGGAATTAAAAGAAAATTTTATTTCTTATATATGTGATTCTCTCTGTTAATGCTAATAACATTAGCCTACCTGTTTTGCCACTTTTTCTGTGCTGATCACGCTTAGAACCTTGTCCACAATTCCTGAGCTGCACGCTGTTGCTGACCACAAGATGTTACTGCTGTTATCACACAGATAAGAACGCACCAGATCTTTGTCCAACATCAGGCCGAAAGCCTACAATGGTCATGGAGAGATGATAGTGTTAACCAAAAAAGTAAATATATATGTTAGCTTTAAGTGGGTTCTTTAACTGGAATATGCTTTAGACAATTTTAACTTGCTAAACTTAGCTAATGTTAGGCAGTATCCTTAATAGTTGCATATTCTGTATATAGTATGGTCTGATAGAGAGTAATATCACTTTAAGGAGCAAAAACAAATACAGTCACTATATTACTTATCAAAATGTTTATTTGCTGTACATGCAAAATTTATGTCTCTGTTTTCCCTCATTTTAATCTTGTTTTCTAATTTCCATAGTGAAATTCAGTTTCCAGGAAATGTTTGTGAGCACTTTGGAATAACCAGACTTTCAGCTAAGAATAAATTCTGATGTAATCTTCATCTAAGCCAGAAATTCAAATTACTAAGAGAAAAACAGTTGTACTTCCTATGTGTTTGTAAGTGAGTGAATACTGGACCACTACTCCCTGCAAGCTTCTTAACTGTGTTAAAATATTTTGTTGTTGGTTTAAATATGTGGTTTGAATAAATGACTTTCGTGAACTTGGATTTGTACCATTGCTCTGACATTCTCATGTAAAATCCCTTCATATGAGTTACCACTGTTCAGTAAAGACAAGAAAGTAAAAGTTTAACAGGATGTGTCTGTGTAAATGTGTAAATGAATCGTACACAACCCTCACAACCCTCTTTGGGGAACTGTTGTTGTTGCATAAATGACTTCCTTATTAGAATTAAAATTCCTAAGACCAGCTTAATGACGTTGAAGAAAGAGATGATGACTTTTTTTTAACCTTATAACTAGAAATATTTAATGTGCAATGTATTGAAAGGCAAATGTAGAACTCTTTTGCTATTACCTTTTTTCCCATGAAAGGAACTGCCTTCTGTGGCATTGCTATTTCTTTAATATACTGCATAGGACTGTTTACTGAACTGTTGCATGATAATGCATACCTTATCCAGTGGTATCTCATAATCCAAAACATTTTCTACGAGGTATTTCACCGTTGTTCCTAGTGAGTCATTTGTGACCAGTTTTCCAAGGGGAATGGTGACATCTATGAAGAATTTAAGCACATTGTCAGATATTAGCAGACATGGGTGATACATAGAGTATTTACAGTAAAGCTAATGGTCGATAGTTACTTTTGCCAGGCCAATGATTGATATAGGTGATCACTCTGATGGCTTCAGCAAGAAATGAATCATACTTGGAGAGCGGGCCACTGGTCTCAGGGAAATCTTCCTCAATGGTATATGCATCACTAAAGAGACAATTTCAGAAGCATTAAATCTTCAAGTCCAAAATATAGTATGGGCTGGAAATATAGTTTAAAAAAGTGAAAGGCAATATGAAGAGTACTTCTAAGCTGAATTCACCAGTTTTCAAGCTTTTATTGACCACTAATAGGTACTTTGAATGATATGTTATTTTTACTAAATATGGTTTGATTATGCCATTCCATTCTTTAAAATAATCTGACATACTACGTTAACCCCTTACTTCAGCTACCTTCATCACTGAAAATACTTTACCCCTGTAGGTGCTTGAGTACTTCTTCCAGTGTTCTCAGCATTTGGTCAACAGAACCATCTGAAAAGAGCTGAGGAAGAGCTAGAAGACGGTCCCATAGCAAGTTGTCATTTTGCAGCTGATTGAGGAATGTCACTGTTACCCATGCCACCTCCATCATTTCCTCTGGTTGGGTCAGCATCCATTCTTCCAGTATCTGACAACCAGACAGAGAAAGTATCTAAGCCTCCCAAAGCAAGGTACAATTACAAAAAAATGCTAAACACAAAACAAATAAAAAAGAATACATTTGGTTAGTGTCATCGCAGTGTGCTGACTAAAGTCGACCTAACATACATGGGCCTATATTTAACAAAATGTATAGGATCAAGTGCAAACACAAAAATATACCTGATTGACTGTATAGAGTGAGACTTCGAACACTGTGTTATTGGTCTTGCAGAAAATGAACACGGCATTGGTGAAAACATCTAGCGAGCTTTTGTTCAGCATGGGCAGAGTCACAGTGCAAATGGCCCTCTTTAACAGGTTGGCTGACTCAAGCATGTTATCCAGGTTCTCCTGCAAGAAATGCAGTTTAGGTGAATGCATGTTGTTGTTATTATTACTAGCAAATATACAACTGGTCTGCTAACACAACATTATTAGAAATTGTAAATGGAATATCTCCAAATTTAGTCAGTAACAGCAGCATGGTTGTAGGGGAAACTGAATATTTTTGACACATAAATGTATCTATCTATCTAGTTATCTTTCAAATCTTGGACTGGGTATACGTTTAGTAACAACATAAATAAGTATAAGTGTGCTTAGTAAATAGATGCAGTACATGTTTTGTAGCCATTGCTGCAATGCAAGCTTGAGGTTTGACTATGATCTACAGGACCTACAGGATCATTTTTAAACTTGACTGAAGATGCTATCAATCAGCTCTTAATACAAACTGTACTAGTACTGAGAACCCTTGTATCTTCTTTTATTTCTCCACAATACCCACCTGATCTTCAGTACTGTTGAAGAAAGTCGTTACAGGAGCATTTTTAGGACTTCCATGGTGAGACATGCCTTTAAAAAGCAAAAAGATATTGTGAAAAACAGCAGGACTTTGATAAATACTAGATAACCATTTAAAAAAAAAATCCAAATACCTACATCTACCCCAAACTGCCGGTGATAATATTTATTCAAAAACATCAAAGTGATTATGTTAGTTGAGCAACGTACCCAAATTGTCCAGCAGTTTAACCAGTTCTGATTGATCATTGGTGAAGTCGTTGGGGAGAAGGTTAAGAAAATCCCCCACTTGACCAAGACTCTCCAGTGGAGAACTCTCTGTCACAGACCTGTGGTACAGGTGAGGTAGTAAATACATTCTATTAGATGCATTTAGGACCCTTTTAGTGCTAAAGGTTTCATCTTTCTGTCTTAAATTAAAAGTACCTTTTGTTTCTGTGTTTAAGGCGCTTGATTTTGACCATGCATTACAGTAATCATATTTATAATACTGCAATTCACTGAAATAGAACCTAACTCTACAATACCTTGGTTCACTGAAATGAAGCTTAACTCGATGACACTTTGATTCCCTGAAAAGAAACCTAACCTAACAATATTCTTGTTCCCTGAAATGAAGCCTAAGTAAAATGTACTGGTAGATAAGAGGTAGACAAACAGGTTCTTCCAGTGCAGGGAATTTAAATCAAAGAAGCTTCCAGATAATGGCATTTGTTAACACATGTAATGTGATAGGTAAGGGTTAAGATCCTTCTCTTCCTCCACAGGGAAAAGTCTGTTGTTGCTAAATTTTCTTGATCACACACTGACTAATCATGTCACGTGATGCTGTGATCCTAAGGTGCGTCCCTCCTTTGAGACACAGGGACCATGTGATTTAAAGTCAGCAGAGTTCAAAATGTAGTTTTAAACAATAATATGTGAAGGGTTATTGACTTAAAGTAAATATGCAATTTGTAAATATGTTTTAGCACTTAGATTGCAGATTATATACATAGACTGTATATACACTGAGTATACTGACGAAGAAGGTACCTTGCTCTCCTCGACTTTGATGTTGTTGGTTCTACCAGGCGAGATGTGTTATGGCAACTGCTATCTGTGTTGCACATGAGGGTCTGGAGGAAAGGAAATAAGCCTGTGCTGGGGAGGTTTCGGGGACCGACATAACCTAGAGGAGATATGATAAAGGTTTTGCTGTAGTGATGACACTGGAAAATGTCATATTCATTAAGAATTGTTTCTAGGTACGTAATTGCATGCATTTGGGAAATGCAGATAGTTCAGAAGCCTTAAAAATGACATCAATTCAAGGTAATAATGTGAATGGCAATAGGATATCTGATACTGAGAAACAGTTTTACAAACACTCTGTCTGAGAAGTTCCTGGAATAGTTAGAAGCATCTATAGCATTACTGTACGTGGGTTGCATGACTGGTGTGCAACCTCTGCCAATCTGAGCTATTGTATCTGTCAAAAAAGAGAGATCCAAAGATTAACTCAGAATGACTTGTCTTTAATCAGGTAATCTTTGATTGATTGCCATGACGTGCAAGTTTTGAAAGCTAGAGCATACTGCATAGGTGCATTTTTCCTTCAGAACTAAAAGATATCCCATATAGTCACACCGCTAGTTCTATAGGAACAATATAACATATGGCGCAACTTTACTTAAAAAATATGGAACATGTAGCAGTTAAAACTAAAAATGAGAACTGCTTTGCTGTCTCCAAAAAAGTTTATACACCAGTCAGATTTTGGTGCATTCTGACTCTGTGTCTCTTTCAACCAGGTATAAAATAAAATACCCACTAAACGGTATCTCAGGGGCAAGAAGAGGTCCTATTGGTTTGACTGTTTTACTAAAAGGTTTGACACACTGGGTTATTAAAGTTCAAGTCAATTCACATATCTTTCAAATCCAATCTGCCAATCAAGCCTGAACCAACAAATGTGACAGGATCAACTAGTCATCTAAAAGTGTTGTTTCCCTTGGTGAACATTACCATGAGAAAGAAGGTTATTCCTATGTTTTTTTAAGGATTTTATTGAAATTTAGATATACCATTTCTTAATGTTGCTGTGATTACATGTGGTTTTTTTAGGCTCAAAGCTGTTTGAGAACCTGGCTCTCTGTTAACCATTAACCTTGTTATTTAAAAAAGGCTGTAGGTGGCAAAACAAAGGTATCTCAAAAGCCTCGCCTTTTCAAGTTTCACACAAATCTAAAGCAGAGTAAATGTGATGTCAGTAGGCGTTAAATGATAAAGCAGAACAAACACCATGTCAATAATGATGGGATAGGCTCAAATCTGAAGGACCATTGATGTTTGCATTTAGCTGTCCATTTGTTTACTTTGGTTGCAAAACTAGAATGTCTCCAAGTATTTACCTGCTGACCTTTAAGATGACAAACAAAAGAATGCGGTCCAACCGAGTTAATATTGTGTCATTACTTACATAACTATCACAAAGGTAAGTTTCAAGAGTATCCTTTAAAACTAATAAAAGTTTAAAAAAAAAACACAACAAAAACAAAACACCAGTAATGCAAAATGTCAGTTAATGTTTCCAAACAAAGCTTCTACTCATTAAAAAATATTTTTGATTGTTGTAAGGGATGCTTACAGTGGAATACGCAGGTTGTGCATTTTCAATATGAGGTTAAAAAAAAGGCTTGATTTTGTTTGCAGAATTAGCAGCAGTTGTGTTTTTTTACACTTACATGCTTCCTTCACAATAGTAGGGAACTGGTGGCGGGTCACAGCAAGGATGATGAAGATGATCAAAGGCCAGGCGATCAGAGTCAGGGACCATACCTGAAAAAACACAACATATTTTAAAGCTTTGTAATAATATTCATTTCAGGGATGTGCAGAATGCCATTTTTTCATTCTTAGGTAATTAACTAGATATTTTTGACTCTTTGAATCTCACTCACTGGCCGTCTAATTACACCCAGTCCATTCTTCCAGAGAAGAAGCTGAAGTTGGCGAAAGAAGGCCATCACTGGTGGAAGAGGTTAAAATAAGGGAAAAAAAGGAAACAAAGTTAAAAATGATATTTTTCATTCCATTAAATTATATATTTCAGTGTTCATTTAAATGCATTAGCTGGCCATTTAAAACAAAACAAATGCAGTATATTTCAGGACTAGTATTTCCATGATCCCAGTATATCTATCTATCTATCTTCACATTCAAAGGTAGGCATAGACATTTTAGGATAGGTGGGGGGGGGAAAGCTACTATATAACTTGGTGAGAGTGTATTCATTCAGGTATAGGTTACTTAAATAATATGACAGGTTTTTTTTTCTTCTTCTCTACAAGTCTCATCAACTGTAGCTAACGTCTATAGCGCAAACTTATAAACGGTAGGTTTAAAATAATAATAAATAACAGCAATGTAAATCACATTAATGTTGTCGCTCAGTTTAGCTCATTTAGGATAGGCACTCAAAAAAATAGTCCACTGCGCACTCACCTCGCAGCCGCGTTCCTTTTAATAGCTCAAATTATTTGTTATGTGAGTGTCGCTCGCAGATTTGCCAGGGAGGGCATGGTTCCTAGCAGGATGCCCTTTCCATCAGTTGTTCACCGGAGTAAGACAGAAGAAGACCACGCTCAAACGTTGAAAAAAACCCTCTCTGAATGCCACCGCGGTTAGTGTAAAAGCAACAACAATACCGACAACCTCAACCTCTTTGTCGCTTGTCTTGTGCTTGCGTGTATGAAAAGAAATATCTGGAATGGAAAAGGGCGTGTTCTCCTGTTGCACCTGTCTGCCCACAACAACAAAAATGGGCCGCATTACCTCTTAGAACAAGAAATCGCATACACTGGTACAAGAAAGGGCGCTACTTGAGGACGCTTTATGTGCCTATCTTACTACAATATTTAAGTAGATTCTAGTTACCTCAGATAATCACAGCTGATAGATTTAGAGAAAAACCAGAGCTGCTTAGAGAAGCATGTGACGGAATTAGAACTGGTATTTTTTCTTTTTAATGTTTCTGTATTTTGTCCTAAATGATAAATAGAAAACCTAAATTTAAAGGTCGCATTGACCTTAAATGTCTTCTTTTTGTTTCTATAACCAGTGAAAGTTAAACCTCTTATTAAATCTACAAGGTATGAAATTACACATAGTTTACAGATAGTTTAAAGTAAGATATAAAAACCTAATTTTAAATAAGTATAAGAATGAAGAAAACGGGGTTAACCCAGGACGGTAATGTTGCTGGTAATGGTGTTGTGGTTCTTTTTTGGGTTTTTTTTTTTGTTTTGGTTTGTTAATTTTTCCATAACTTGTGTTTCTGCAAATATACACCTTCTGTATTTTTCATATGAAAGAAACTATACTGTGGTGGGGCTTGCTAATTTCTTGTTTTTGATTTATGTATGTTTTGTTTTGTTTTGCTTTACTTTTGTTTCATATGTTGTTTGTTTAATTTAAGACTAAAAAAAAAAAAAATTAAATGAATGAGAGGTAAAACTTGAGGGGGTAGGGACAAATAAGTAAATACATCTGCCTACTCCTTTTCAAACAAATAATGGAATAATATTTTGTAATGATTGTGAAGGCTCATGTTTGAAATAAAAATGAACTGAACTGAACACACCTAATTATCTAGTGTTGTCAAGGAGCTACTGTATACGTCTCCACAGAGAACAGTCACAATGACATGTGTGAGGGATCCATTGGGAAAAGTTAGCACTCACACACAATACTGTTTCCACATAATGTTGAGAGGGAATAAGATCCATCCAATTCAATGATATCAAATCACCAATTGTAATAAATTACATATAAATAAAAATTATCTTACACATTCATATTTGACTTGTGTTCTTGTATTTTCAAAAAGAATAATATGACTGAAGCTTTCTTTCAAATGTACAAACATCCTGTACAGACCTTGTGAGAAAAATAAATGTTGACATTGACATTGTTGCATTATGGTGCATTCTCCAAAAGTTGATTCTGTTCATCTGGACGTAGCGTTTTCAGTGGGAGAAACATTTCGTCACTCATCCAAGTGACTTCTTCAATCTCAGCTGACTGCAGGTTTCCCCAGTCTTATAAACTTACAAACATATAGTGTACACTGTTAAGTGCCAGCAGGATTGCCAGGGTCTATACATCAGGGAAATCAAACAACATCTGGCAAAGTGGATGGCACAACACAGAAGAGCTACCTCGTCAGGCCAGGACTCTGCAGTCTTTTTACACCTACAGGCCAGTGGACACTCTTTCAATGATGAGGATGTACCATCCTGGACAGGGAGGGACGCTGGTTTGAGCGCGAAGTCAAGGAGGCCATTTACGTAAAAAGGGAAAGACCATCTCTGAAGCGAGGAGGGGGCCTAAGGGTGCATCTTTCGCCATCGTACGATGCTGTGATTGCAGCCATTCCCCAACTGTCTGTGGATGGTACTCATGGCCATTGACCATGACTATTCTATTCTATGATGAAGGAAGTGGGATGAGATGAGTGACGAAACGTTTCTCCCTCTGAAAACGCTACGTCCAGATGAACAGAATCAACTTTTGGAGATTTCCTTACCTGGATGATTGAGCATGCATCAAGAAGATTATGGTGCATTCCATTATCTTTAACTCAGAGTATGAGCGGAAATTTACTGTCACCCAGTCTTTCTTTTATGGTACTAACATTTGTTATGCAGGCTGAGTATTACATACTAAATCTTTCCACAGTTAGATTGTTTGATAAAAACAACTGCAAAACAATGGACAGCAGGAATAGGGTTGGGCCATTTTACCTATGCCCAGCAAGGCCATAGGTGACATGACACTTGTAATGTTATCATAAAGGTAGCAGTACTGGTTTCTGATCTTGCAGTGTGCTGGAAAAAAAAGTCAGCTGTTTTATGCAGTGTACTGTCTTACCACAGGAAGCTTATTCAACTAGCTACTGAAATCCAGTGATGTATAATACACTCTTCTTTTTGACTTTGCTCTATATATAGTTTTCATTACAATGTTGTGTGAAAGTCATGAGCAAGCCATTATTTTATATTTTTCCTTCAAGGACACAGACTTTATTGTAATAAAGTCTAGAACAATAGTTCTTCAGTCATTTTAAAGATCTTTCAAAGGTTTTCTTTGGATATTGGCTGCTTTGTCTCTTGTTTTCAGTCCAGTTTTTGTACCTGACCGTTTTCAGAGGAATGTCTTTTGTTTGTTAAGTCACTTAACACTGACCTATTAGATCGGGAGAGAAGTACGACTGTAAGAGTCTTGACTTTCAATCTCAACAGAATGGTATAATAAGGGGTTTTTTTGTTTTGTTTTTTTGCTTTATAAACTAAATGTTTACACATATTTTTCATTTTCCCAAAAAGTGAGGGGTGGCAACACTTTTTGTTTCTTTGAAACAACAGAACAATTACAGAAAATAATCAATTTGTAGGTAATTCCCTAAACTAGCTTGATTAAACATCTCGATTTACATATGTACTAGGGAAACTTAATTATAGTTGAAGAGAATTGGAATTATGTGGTGGTATTAATCAGATTCTGAAATAACAAAATATTTTATTTTAGTTTTAGTAGGTTTCTGGCAGGGTGGAAGGTAATAGGTAAAAGTGCCTTGAAAAAAACATGCAAGTCTTTTGTACAGTATCAGTTTGATGGCAAGTTATGTGTGACTTCTTTGTGTTATGTCAATACTGGTCCCTGTAGTACTTTAAATTAGGATTGCAATGTGTATGCTTGGAAACAGTTTGCGGTTTAAATATCAGGCTGTAAAAATTAGGCATTGTAACGTCTTCATCATGGTGGTATTTACAAAGTAAAATGCTTGATTTCTGTTTTCTAATTTCCTACCGTTCCAATACTGACAATATTATGAAAGGGCAGATACTGTATAAAAAAAGTGAAACGTATTTGTGTTTCTAAAATCATAATTGATTGTGCTTCTTCATAAGACACTTCACAAAAGCAAATTTTCTTAATCTAATTCACAGCCTAACCTCTGATTACCAATTTGTAAAAAAAAAAAAAACTCCCCTCAAAAACCCCACTGGATTTAAAATGAGAATACACCGTCTAATACTCTTTGTTCCATTACAAGACAATCTGTTCACCATTGCCATGAATATAAATAAAAATGAAAAATACAGTTAAAAAACAAAAAACAGTATGTATACAATCTTAAAAACTAAAATGTAAGCAGCTTTATTTTTTGAAAATTTAATTAATACTGTACATGTTTGGCAGTCCTCTCTTTGCCTATTTAGCATAAAGTCCAAAAGAGCAGTCTTTTCAAACCTGGCAGCACAACACTGAAACCATGAAAAGTAAATAAAAATGAACAACAAAATTATTAAAATATCTTGAAGATTCCAAACACTGCATTTGGCCTTTGTATAAGCAAACTCTTAACGGTCACATCAATAAACAATTTTCCAGTGCGTGGGCTGTTCACATTCTTTCTCAGTGTCCCCACAGAAACGGTTGTATGTAGTTTTGGGGTCAAAGCCCAGAATTTCCCTCTCTTCATGGATCCGGAAAGAGAAAGTGGAAACTGATGTTCCTATAAAAAATCTGGAAAGACACATAGAAAAATATAAATTCAAAGAAAGATGGTGTCCATGAAAACTACGCAATAGGAGAACAGCATGAATCACCGTGAGTAGTTTTTCAAGTTGAAATATTTTCCATGGGCAGGAACAAGTGATAAAGCTAATGAAATATCTAAGCTATTTTCTGTTAAACTAAAGTTGGGCATAGGTTAAAGAACTAGTATTTCCACAATAATCAAACAAACATTTTAAACTGATGCACATTAATGTGCCTTTATGTCTAATTTAAAGGGAAACAAGTTTGGGATATTTTTACATTTAGCTTAAATTAGTTTACTGGCAAAATCATAAAGAACAGCCGTACACAACAATAATGGGAACTTTGAACTACACAACACCTGTACCATAAGTTACAAGCTAATGTGCATTACATTCAAGGATAAAGGTGTTTGGCCACTATGTGACAG